ACCCAACTAAGGGCCCATGGTTAGGAGCCAGGAAATAGGTCAGGGCCCATATAAGAGGCCCACGGCTAGGACCACAAAAGCTTTGTAGTTTGTTTAAATAAATACGTACTGTTTTGTTAGGGGTCCTGTTCACAGGGGCGTATAGGGATCAAGAGGTATATGTCGCATATTTATATAAGGTTTGGATAGAAGTGGAGAAGCCAATTGAACAGAAGACAGAACATGAAATGGAAAAACTGGGATAGACAAGGTTTTCTGGTGATTGTACTGTCGGGAAGCCTGAATAATTACTAGTGCTATTCCAGGAGAATCTCTTCATCATGGCAGCCAAATACACCCTGTTCTACTTATTTCGTCGCCTGCACCCTAAACCCCTGAACCCTAAACCCTGAATCATGGGCCTGACGTACTTCGGCTTGTAGAGAAGCTGCAGTCAGGGGCGCAAGGTTTAGGGTTTCCGGTACTTTGGGTTTAGGGTTATAGAGCTTGTAGGAAGTACTTGTTCTGCAATGTGTTTAAGCAGGGACTACAAGAGAGGTCAAGTTACCCATTCCCAACTACGCATGAGTAAGACCATGAGAAGGCTGGAATATAAGTACTGGAATGAGTGGCTTATGGCTCGAGATTCACGGTATATTTGGAAGTCTACAGGACCTAGCACGTACTGTCTACTGCAGTCTAAGCCTACCCACGCAGACCCCACGTGGCCCTACGTGGCCTACCCTGTTGTAAGTAGGATTATTGGTACCCTATGTAAGCCCATGATAACCCCATATGTTCTCTACATGATTACCCGTCTTATCCTGGGGCATCTGAGTTTTAAATCCCATTCGGGGGGTCGGGATGCGGCGATCTGGGTATGGACGCCATGTATTCTGTATGAGTGGTCCCCTGCCGGGGATTCAGGAAGCCGCAACCCTGCCCCTAGACCCTAGATCGTGTATTGTTGATGCTTCTCTGTGCCGGATTTATTCCAGCAGCTGCGAGGAAGAGTGTCCAAGCTCTAGAGATCAAGATCATCAGTTCACCACGTTTGATGGTTAAATTTCTCACTAAAGGCATGCAGGGTTGTTAGCATCAACAGCATTACCCACGCCCAGAGCATTAGCTCGATACCCCAAACCCTTGACAACAATACTAAGGCTGAGCCAAACAGCTACCATCGACTATGCCATTTCAGTTCCACAAAGTGGCAGCAGCTGGGCCTCAATTGGGCTCGGGGAATGTCATTCCAAGGGAAGGTTAGAGAGTTTTGCTAAAACTCGCCGAAATGAGGTTCGTAGCACAGGAGCGGAATCACTGCCAGCATGTTAGTCTCAGATTCAGCATATAAGCGCATACCGCTATAAGATCCTTATCCTAAAGCCTTAAGCGGAAACTTGCATTGTAATTGTCTATGCCGGAAGCCCTTCTCCGAATCCTCAGGTTATTCGATTGAGTGATTGGGTGAGTGTGTTTGGTTTAGGGTTCGGGGTTTAAGGTGCAGGCTCAAACCAATTTGGAAACCTAAGCCTTTAGCTTTAAGGCTTGGAGTTCGCTTCGGGAAAATCAAAGTGGGCGGTCACCCTAAAATCCAAAATTAGTTACTAAGGATGGAAATCCTGCACCACTTAGTATGCCCAGAATTCTGTTCCAATTGCGGTATAGGATATATTAGGTGATTCACGACGTCCTCCATCCGTATGAACGGCAACGAAGGCACCGACCCTGCCACGGTCGTCGCCAACATTGATGCTGAAACAACGGCCACGATGACGGCAAAGCTGCAGAGCGCATTGGACAGCGGATCTTCTGGCGTGTCAGTCACTTGCCTGGACTATTAGGGTTTAAGGTTTAGGGTTATATTCGGGTCGTATTGAAGTCCTATTGTACCTCTATGACCGTGCGGTCGTAAAGCCTTCAAGAATTAGGCCCTCATACTATTTTAGAAGATCTCCTAGCAGAATGTGCCCCGAAACCCTAATGCGCTTTTTAGGGTCCAGTACAGAGGACTGTTCGGGTTTTGGTTTATTCGGTTGGGAAATGTAGCGACCGATCGCAGTGACTGCAACGGATGCAAAATTTGCTTTTGTGCACTACAGTCTGAGGTCGGTAGGAGTGACCTATTCATGGAGCAGGTCATCGATTATAATGTGGCCATTATTTTGGCAAATGAGCTATATGAGGGCTACATATACAGACTATGTATGTGAATGGGATCAGGGCTCCCTAGAAGTGGCAAAGAACCCTTCGTACAGGAAGAACCCTAAACCCTAAACCCTGAACACTAAATCCTAAACCCTAAATCCTAAACCCTAAATCCTTAAACCCTAAAGCCCTAAAACCCTGGCACCAAAACATAGTTGTTGTAGCTCTTGCCATGAACTAGCACGAGCTTAGTGCCTCTGTATTTGCCAGCGCAACTTTTGTAGCCATGAAGGTAGTGGAGAAGGCTGAAGAGTCGCTAGCATCTTGTGCTTTCTAGGCTGTGTAAGATAGAGGGTTTCGGGTTTAGGATTTAAGGTTTGGGTTTTAGGGTTAAGGGTTTAGGTATTTTGTCGCAGCATTCTGAGCCTGCACTCGCTTTGCTTTGAGTTGGTCAGGTTTCGGTCACGTCGTTCTCCTCGCCCCTCATCAATCCCACTACCACTGTGACCACCACGTTGACGGTCACGACGGACGCTTGCTTGGCATTAGCAGCTCATACTCTTATGCATACCTTCGTCCATATCTCAGACCCCACAAAAGAACAACGGTTTTTCGGACCCCCCTCCCCCATATGGCTATCTCAAATTATGCAGGGCTGCTATGCCCTCTCCAAATTCATTCTGCTTGCAGTAGGCGGGGTCATGGGACTTCGTAAGTAGGTTATCCTTGAGGTTATCAGCAGGCCAAACGTAATTAGGGTACTTATAGCCCCACATATCAGAACATACTTGCGGAGCCCCTGGGCCAAAATCCTAAACCCTACATCTCTGTAATTATGGCCTTTTGAGACGGTCCTTACTAAGTTCCCTGAGCCTTTAAGCTGGCATGCGCCAAGGTCAGCTCAACCACCACTGAAAGCATCACGACCACTGAGAGCAGTACGACCTTCACCTACGACGGCACCAGCACCACGCTTACTGCTGCTGGTCTCCGTTTCTGAAATCGGGGGACCCCCAGAAACCCCAAGGGACATATGAGGTTAATACGAGGATTCTGGGGGTCCTACAGGGATTGTGTTGAGAAATACGCATATTAGAGTCAACAGCAGGCTGTTGGGGCCCCGGCAGGAATTTGTGGAGCATAGAGGGAGTACCGGGGTCCTGCTCAAGGATTCTTTAGGGCCGATGTACTCCATTGTGTGCATTTGTCCATCTTTAGGACACTGTGCATACCATGACAAGTTTTGGATCCCCACAGCAGACACTCCACAGTTTTGTGAGAGATGCGAACCGTTAAAGGTATAGTGGGAATGCCCGGGAACTTCAGGACCCTAACCCCTGCTCAGACACTGACAGCCATATTTGGGGTTACCCAACATTGGGGGTACCCTTTTGCGGGTCCCCATAACCAACATTTATAGTACTTGGGGGTTTATACCCGGGTCCGCCTATTGAGGGAAACTATCATTTACATGTTTCTGTTGTGGGCGCGTTGAATTTCAGTTGGCGCGTCAAATATCAGGACACCACTATTACCAGAACCACTCGGACCGGCACGTCAACAACAAGCCACTGGGCTCTCTCTTGGAGTTATGTTAGGCCTGGAAGCCTTGCGGGGCAGTCTGTACAAGCAGCTAACAAGAACACTCGTCGTAGTAGCGCACTTTGAAGATGGACCTTCTGGTCCGTAGAGAAAGTTCACAGGGCGTGCTTCATTTCCTTTGCCACATTTGACATAGATACGAGCTCACCAAGACAGCATGGTATTCAGTCAGTTGAAGCAAGTTCGATAGCACTTTCCATGAGTCCATATTGCAACATGCCATGCGCCGGAAGATGTCCAATGAACTGCTGTCGAACACCATCATCATCATCATCATCATCATCATTATCATTATCATCAGTCGTCGTCATTCTAAATTATGTTTTCTGTCATCATCACCATCCTGAACCTCTAGACCCCATATCCTAACCTTAGCCCCAAACCCGAAATCCTAACCCTAAACCTAAACCCTGAACCCAACGTCCTAAACTCCATAGTTATCGGCCCCATCACTGTCCTCGGGCATGATCCCGTTGCTGCAGGTGCGACGGCCACACAGACGAGCATCACAATGACCACGATTACAGCAACCACTGCCACACAAACCAGCACGCGGCTTGATAGCAGGCTGCTATGGGAGTGTCCCCAAATAGGGGGTACCGGGTGCCGTTTTAGGGGTCCCTATAAGAAGGATCATTGTATTTTGGGGTCTTTTTTGGGTCCCCATGTTTAGGGAAACTACCATATCATGGGTGCGTGCGTAGGGCCTAGCAGCGGTGGTTGGTTTCCGTAGCAAGCCTCGCTGAGCCTTTTTGTGTGAGGGTTGCCCTGTGGAAAACAAGCTGGCAGGGTAAAGGTCATTGGGGAGTATGTTTGCAAGGGTTGAATGTATTTGGGGCTGTTGTCTGGGAGCTTCGAGCTTGACATCTGATGCAAAAGTGCCCACCCTTGCGCCTGCTGAGGACGGATAGCACAACGACCACATACATAGGCACCTCTACAACCGTGACTGCCACGACAGTCACAGCCACAACCGTGACTACGACCAGCAGGACCACGACGTACACCAGCACGGTGAGCAGCACTACCACCCTGACAACGATGACAACCAGCAGCGTAACAGCTACCAGCACTGTGAGCTCAACCCTCACTGCAACCTCCACCAGCATCACTCAAACGACTAGCACCAGCAGCAGCGCGACAACAACAAGCACTACAAGGACGAGCACCAGTACCACCGCTACTGTTACCACTAGCACAGAGACCCAAACTACGTTCACTCTCACCTCCACATCTGGTGCCAGTACGACTACTCATACGGCTACGGACACCAGCACAACAAGCGTGACGACCACCATAACCTCCAAGACAGCCACAACGTCGGTAACTACGACTGTCACCCATAGCACAACCACAAGCACAACAGAGACAGCTTCAACGAAGACATCAACAGCCACCAGCACGGTCACCTCCAGCTTGACTGCAACCAGCAGCGTCACAACAACACTTACAAGCACCTCTGTGACTTCAAGTGTCACGTCTAGTGTCACCACCACTAGCAGTGCTACAAGTAGTACTGTCACCACCCACACCTCTACAAGCACAAGTGTCACGGCCACATCAGTTACAGTCACAATCAGCTCTACAACCAGCGCGACGGTTACAACAAGTACCACGAGCACGTCCACCACAATTACGCCGCTGGGCATTGGTTCAGATTTGTTTCGTGTTCAGGCTTGAAGGCTTTCTTTGGAGAGCAAATTCGAGTGCCAATCCTAACTACTGGGTAGACACGGTCTGCAAGAAGGAGTGGACAATGTGATCCTTTGTATAGATTGGCTTGCTGTAGTGTTGTTTTGCAGCGCGCATATGCGTATGGTTCGACATTGGAGTCTGGAAGCGACAGGGGACCCTAAACCCGAAACCCTAAACCCTGACCCCTAAACCCTAAACCCTAAACCCATTCCCGTCAGCCCCATAGTCCCCCTTGCAAAAGGACAGAGGCCCGATACAGGGCAATCCTCGAGTCTCACATGTGTGTTTAGGAGGAGTTCACGTCAAGCCCTTAACCTTTCCAGCCTAGAACAACTTAGTTCAGCTGGGTTCAGGTTTAAGGGTTTAGGGGTTTGAGGATTGTGGGTTTAGGGTTTAGGGGTTTACGGTTTAGGGGTTTGGGTTCAGTCAGGGTTTCGCCTACAACAAGCTAGTTCAGCCCCTGTGTTGGTTTTGGGTCTTGGGGTACGTCTGCAAGGTGTCCTGCTGGGCACAGTCCCAACTATTACCAATCAGACTTAGGACTATAGTCCCCCTTACGTAGATGGAACATGGGGTATATGGGGTATATGTGGATCTTATCATAATATGCCCAGAGCCATATTTCATCCACTTAAGAGGGAACAAAAGCTTCGGGTTTCATTTAGCTTTTAGATTTCAGCCTGTTCTCCACCCACGGGTCGCTGTATCGGGGGTCCTTCTATGTACTAGGGGCCACAGATGCTGATGGATGTGGAAGGGGACCTTATAGCTCAGTTAGGAAGCCCACACTGCAACCCGGCAATGTCCTATAGTATCTTACACGTACATACAATTATGGATAACACCAGCGTTTTGTACCATACCTGCCAAGTTTGTAAGGGGAGCTTAACCCTCGACCCTAAACCATGAAGCTCTAGAACGCGAGGGCGGCTCGAATTCCTTCGATTGCTGTAGGCAAGGAGGCCCAAAGCCTACACCTCTTGCCGGTGTCTTTGACATTTGACTCCCTTGACAGCCCAGCAACAAACACCTCCGAAACTGCATTTTCGAAGCATATTCGCTGACCTTCTCTTCCAGTTGGGCAGCGCGGGGATTCCTGCAGTGTGAAGACCAAGAAGATAAAGAACCGAAAGTCTGCAGGAGCCAAAAGGGTTTAGAGTTTAGGGCTTTGTTCCACGCTGAGCTGACCCCCGCCCAAACAAGAAACAAACTTAAGTCGAAGCATCCCAAATCTCAAACTCTACAGAGCGCAAACCCGCAACCCCAAAAGGCCCCGTCCCCCAAGAAGCCGCAGAACCCTGAGAAATGCAAGGCCAACCTCAAGGTGAATTAAACGCAAGTCCCTGAAGAGCCCTAAACCGTTAAAAGCCCTAAACGCTCGCACAGGCCTTTGTCAGGGTCCATCCTTGTAATCTTAGAACACGCCTGACCTGTCCCGAAGGTCTACCACCCTCGAAAACTACAACATCATTGCTGGAAGCCTTGCGCTAGAAGTGAGCAGCAAGCCTGCAGAAGGAAGTTTGTAGTGCAGGGTTTGGGTTTTGGGGTCTAGTTTTGGAGTTTTCACCTCCTTTGAGGCTCTGTTGTGGTCACAAAATACTTGCGTGTTCTTGTGCACATGTACACATGCATATACCCTAAACCCTAAATCGTCATCATATACCCATACTCGCTGGATGTGCAACTCTTGGTTTGGAGGTGGGAGTTGGGCTTGGGTGTTCGGACTTTTGGTTGTGGCTCTGAGCGGTTCACATCCACAGTAGTCATAACAGCAACCCTGCACCCTCAACCAGCTGCTCCCTCCCATGTCGTAAGTAACCTGCACAACAAATTTGAAGACGTTTTGGGCCTTCATAAAATCCGCGAGTACGGCATGTGATGCTAGGATGAGGCGTCTCCAAATTGGGGTCCGTGTCTTGGCCCAGTCTTTCTCTCTCTCTCTCTCTCGCTCTCTCTCTCTCTCTCTCTCTCTGTCTTTCTTTCTCGCTCTCTCTATGTTCTCCGGTCAGACACTTTCAGGTTGTACTTGCAGATTTTTGGCATGTCATGTCGTAGGAGGTGTCAGGCTCTGAAGTCATGATTCAGGAGCTCACTCGTGCTGAGCAGGTGACTGCCCATCCCTCGACACGCCGCAGGGACGAACTGGCCTGGCAAATGGGATTGCAGAGGCTGGGTCGCGGTTGAACTGGTGAAGAGGAGGGCTTGAGGCTCAGGCTTTGGGGGTTTGGGGGTTTTGGGGTTTTTGGCTTGCTGACCTTTTTTTTTGGGGTAAGTCTTTAACTTACAGTAAGGATCTTAACATCTGGGGGAGTTGTAAGGAGGGCCTAAACCTGAAAGCGTATCTTTCGAAAGACCCTGCCCATTCACCTTTTGGCTTTGGGTGATGGATGACGCAAAGTTGTGGAGACGAAACGCTAACCCCAGCTTAGAAGGGCAGGGTCCGGTTAACCATTAAGCCCTAAAGCCTAACACATGTTTTTGGAAGAGTCATGCTCAGGGTCTAGGTCTTCTAGTTTGAGGGCCCTATACATGTGGTAGTACTATGGGGCCATTCGAGTCCTGACGCTTGGGTATGACTCCCAAGAGCCGTATGTAAGTGCATCTGAAATGGTGTCTTTAGCCTTTCACCCTAAACCCTAAACCCTAAACCCTAAGCCCTAAGCCCTAAACCCTAAACCCTAAACCCTACAATCTGAGCTTGGAGGCTGCAAATGTGTCTGCTCAATATGTGGATGTGACTCTCAGCTGCAAGACGCTTTAGCACGAACGTGGCCAAGTGGTAATTTCCCCAAATAGGGGGACTTCACTTAATTTTGGGGAACCCCCTAAGTCATAGCTTGGAAGTTCCCTGACTTGTGTGTGAAATTCTGTTACCTAGAATCCTCCAGGGTGCCAGGGAACTTTGAGGAACAATTGGGGTTATATTGTGGTTATATTGGGATTATATTGGGGTTATGTTGCGTTATATTGGGTCATTCATCGCACAATTTTTACTCCCAGTGGTGTTTTTTCATAGATGAAATAGCCAAACCCTAAGTCCTAAACCCAACTGGCGGGCAAGTTTAAACTCTTGCGAGCCCTGAACCCATGACAGTTAATCCCCTCCCCCTAATGTGAAAACCCCAGCCCCCGTAATGTTAAAGATTCCCATTGTGGTATGTTATTACATATTATGCACCATACTTCATGGTGGAGTGGCTGGGGTTTTCAGTTTTAACATTGCAGGGAGGGGATTACTCACTGAACACTAGCCCTCGACCCTCGATGGCAGCTCTAGGGGGGTAGTCGGCAGGTGCGAACCAATCCCACTTCCCCTCATTCGAGCTGAGTGTCATAGGGGTGTACTTATGTGGTAGCTACCCACTCGGATGTGTCTTTGAAAAACCCTGAACCCTAAACCCTAATCCCTCAACCCAACACCCAAGGCCCAAACACGCAAACACCCCAAACCCAAAAAGCCCTAATCCCTGAACTCTAAATCCAACACCTCAAACCCACAAAAACCCAAAGCTCTGAACCGTGGCACTCCAACCCCTTAGGCCATTGGAGGGTTGCAAGCGTTGGCCCACATCCGGTGGATACAAATTCCTGCATGACGCGAAGTACCGTATACCTTGGGAATTACGGTACTATAGTACACTAAGGTCATGCAGGAGTTTTAGTATCAACAGGCGTTCCTGAAGTCCTTTCAGGGCGCCTATGCAGAAGAGTTGAATTTTCTGCCAAGGCCCTGCAAACATCCCATGTTTGCTTTGCGTAAATCGAAAACATCATGCGCACTCCAACTCCCCCAAGTTTTTGCCTTCAACCTTTATGATTTAGGGTTTGGGGTTTGGGGAGCCCTGAACCTTTCACCCCATCCCCTAACCCTTACACCCTGCAAGGACGGTCACATGCAGCCGGCTGCTCAAGGTCGCTCGTCTGCGACATTCAGTCCTTGTCCAACTTCTGAAGCTGAGGGTTTACAGAACTGAAGCAACAAGCCTTCAAGCCCTAGACCGTGCGGTTACGGTTCAGGGCTTACTTGGAGTAATCATGGGCAGCAGTCCCTACACCCTAAACCTGAGTTCATACATTAAAACTCAGACCAAATGGTAGTTTCCTCAAATAGGGGGACCCCAATGTGGACACCGAAATTCTAGAATCCCATAAGCCCTAAACCCTAAACCCTAAACCCTAAACCGTAAGCCCTAGTTGCCGAAAAACTCAAATGTCCAAGGAGCTTCTTGAGACCTTTCGCCGTCTACAGCGCTCTCGACCTGTTTTTTCCTCTGACGTTTCTAGTGACATAGGACATTTCACAAGCGTTTAGCTTGAAGAGATGGTGGCCGTATGGAATGTTGTCCCTGTAAAGTACATAGGTTAGTCAGACATTTTAAAGATTGAGTAGTTGTGTACCGCGGTATGCAAGTCCTGTCGCGATTTGGAAAGTGGGGTTTGTGGTTCAGGCTAGGTAGGAAAGTTTTCGCTTCTGTAATGCTGCATCCTACAGTGCTTCTGTTGATATGGGGATAGTGCCCGACTTTTATCTTTACACCACCTAACTTGTCAAATACAAGTTAACGATACCCCGATTGGAAAACACGATCTTGAGCTCAGCTATAGGGTTTAGTTGTTACCCTAAAGCCTAAAGGTCCTAAAGCCTCAAGCCCGAACCGCTAAACCCTCAGAATTTCGAACTTCCTGAACCTCCAGTCCTGCAGTTTGTGCTTTACTTCCTGGTGCTTCGTAGGAAACGTGGAATGCGTTCTCATGAGCTGAGTAATGGAATGGGGTTGCTAGTCACTTGTGTTCTGATTCCCTACTAAGCCAGCAGGTAGGTCTTTCACGTTTGGGATTTGCACCAAAAGCCTCAACCCAAAACCCCGAGCCCTAAATCTTTAGATTTTGGACCCGGTTGCTAAATTTTGCCGGTTGGCCAAATCTTGTGGATCGTTGGGAAAACTCCTGCATG